TGTAGCGGTCGTCGATGCCCTGTTTTGCCAATAGAATCCACTCTGCGCTGAGCTCGATAGTACAGACCGCTTTCTCTTAGTCCACGAACGCGAAGGACAGAGGGAGCTGGAATGCCCTCGCGATGTTAACGATGTTATCCGTCCTACTGTAGCTTCTTCAGAATCTTGCGACTGCTGTTCGCACGGACTAGTCGACAGTCTGTTAGTGACAATATTAGTGAACGTTTTTGTAGACCTGCAAGAGCAGACAGACTAAACGGATGTTCTTCAAATCATATTTCTCATCCTTCTTGAACAGAACGATTGCTTTTGAATCTTTCCAGCATTTCCGTTTCTGGGTAGCAACTGACCTGCCTGACCATCTGTTGTGATAATTTTAATTATCATACTATTCTCCCTGGCGCTGGTCCCTCCATAATTGGCCTCACGGCATGCTAAACTTCGCTTATGAGAATTGGGACAGTCATTCCTACTGAATATTTGAGTATTTGTAGCGGGACGCGTGTCCCAGACGCAAAATGCTGGGGTTGGCTGATGAAGCGCTAACTTCAAACCGTATTGTCTGAGGCTTCTGCGGGTTCGACCTGTTTGTTTGATTTTAGCCATCGGAAGATCTCGAAGTCCTTCTTATGATTCTGAACAACGGGCTTACAGAAAGAGGGTAGTCTACCACCCCCATCTCTGCTTTGCCCTTCCCTGTTTCTTCAACAAACTCTTTGTCTTTTCGTCTCTTCTGATATCCATCCTCTCGATCTCTTTCATGTTACCACCTCGGCTAATTTTACACAATGCCTCAGTTCCTCAGCGAACTTCTTGTATTCGTCGTCGCAGCTGGAAATTTGCACTTGAATCACCAAACGTCGAATACCTTCGGTCGTTTCATGCGATTTGCAATCTACAGTATGTTCCTCTCAACGATGCACAGGGTACCACACAAAATTTATCTTTATCTTTATGGCATAAACATGCAAACAGTGTGATAGCAGCGCAGAGCAGTTGCCGAAATAAATCGCTGCTAATGAGTGCTCCTTTTCATTAAATCATTTTATGTTAGTCATCAACGTGGCCAGCTGGCCGCTCGTTTATCACCCTTATCGATTTCGGGAAATGCTGTTTATCCATATTTCGTTTCGAGAAACTTTCCTGGTCATAATCTTGGATGAATTAGGCGTTATTTGACATACGAACAGCTTGATGATATATATATGTACACACTTTTCAGTCTGAGTGACAGAGTGAGAGGTCTGGACGCTTTCACTCGCCTGAACGGCTTTGCAGGTCAGCATGGTTCTACCTTAGCTGGTTGTGATTACTCTGAATTCGCTGTTTAAAGAAATCATCCGAGAATTTGGAAGGTTGCCTTTGCAGAATTGCCAAAGAATCAATCATTTCGACCGTAGCGTTATTACACTGGCCTTCACTTTCGGTCGAATATTTTTTACCGCCTCGTTACTCCGTATTCGCGTAATAGACCTGGTACCGATTAAGTCATCGTAGGTAAAACCTGAAAGCCATATGGCCTTAGAGTATTCAATATGCTCTAAGCCATGAATCCGGCCGTTTAGTGAAACACACTTATTTAATTTACATGTGAACGTGGTCCAACGAGTCCGTGAATACGCACAGATGGAAAAAGTTAGTGTATGTCCCTGATGAAATCTGTTTGACGTTCGGCTGAGTAATTGAGTTCAGCGGCGTTTCGCAGCTCCGAGTCTCTCTCGAACTGTTTGGCTGCGCGAGAACCGACATGCCGTCCTTTAGCCTGTGTAAACGTGATTTCGATCAACGACGCGAGTCGAAACTCGCCGCCGAGTTTGCCACGTCAGCACTCAAATGAATGAAGTTGAGGTTGTGAAGAAACGCTGTGTAATTAAAGTCGGCCGCAGAACAAACGATGCGTCCTAAGTAACTAGTAAAGTCGCTTGAAGCGAACTGTGGTCGAAAACGAACCTGAAAATCAGCCGCTCTTCCGCTCACTGCCTCTGAACGAGATTCGTCACGAACCAGTCATCGGCGCAGTTCCGGCATACCGATGCGTCGTAAAGCCATATTCACTGACGGTTCGACGACTCTCAGACAACGACGACCCTTATTATTGGCATACGATGGATCGATAAATGATTATAGATAAATTTTGGAGGGAGTGACTTAAATAATTCGGAGATGATAATCACCGCCATCGCAGTCCTCATCAAAACAAGCTCAAGAGAGGCAGATACGAATCGATGCCCTCATGGCCTACGTTTTAGAACAGCTCATTTTCTAGATCCGTGATTATTAACTTTTTCTACAGCTTAGACCTATTTGGCTCTCAAACCATGTTCCTTCCCCTTATTAATCATCACTGAAGTAGACAAGTTATTTAAAAGTAAGATACATCATAATTTAGTCAGCAAGTCGGTTCAGATGACTGCCCGTCTTTTTGAATCGCACAGGCAAATCCTTGCTTTGCCTGCAGTTTAGCGTCGTCAGAA